AAAATCATGAAAAGGACAAAAGATGTATGAAACGATATCTGTACTTAAATTAAATGAAAGAATAGAAAGTGCCTTAAGTCAAACATTAGTTTCAACTACGTTTTATTTTAAAAGAGGGAAAACGTTTTTTTTTTGGAAAGGTGCTTGATACTATTTTAGGGTTAAAGATCAGAGATGTCTTTATTTAATGTATATATTTAGCAAAAGCGTAATTGTCACCTTATTAAAGATTTTATTGAAAAAATGTCTGATTAAATACAAATGCTTGACATTATTTTAACTACTTTAAAGAACATGTAGCTTTTACCAAACTGTTGCAAGGTACAGTTTCAACATGGAAATTTATTGTTAAAAAAAAACTGTTGGGGATGCCAAGGTTTTTCCAGGTTTTCAATGATTTTGGGAATGCTGCTGTAAATCTGTGATTTTGTCAAGTGCTTGATACTATTTAAGGGTTAAAGTTTTGGGTTCTAAACTTATACTGAAGGCATATGCGCTATTGCCTCTTTTTCATTTTAAATTCCCATACTCTCCTATCATTCAAATACATTTCTCATCAGAATATTTTTAGATAATGGACTTTAACGACAATCACATTATGAATTATGGGTAAGTGCAATCAACTGGATGTCAACAAATCTTTTTAATGTGGGAGCCTACACTGACCTTTATATCTAAAGTGACCCAGAAGCTTCCAGTAGAGGGAGTCCTGTTGAAGCTCTGGCAATGTTCTAAGCTCTAAACATCTCCAGTTGCACTTACTGAAACAGTTTTTTTTGGTAAATGTCAAATAAATAATACAATGGATCAATTGTACTCCACTTAAATTAAATAATACATATATACTTCTAATAAAAGCAAAAGGATTTAAAGAACAATTAGATGGCATGAGCAAGATGAGGTCGTTTGTATATTTAAAAAACAACCACTGAACTATGTGATTTCATGACAAAGGTCTCAGATTTCTTATGTGGACAAAATTATTGCTCTTGATTACGTTCTGGAAAAACATGAAAAATGGGTTGTGGGGAATCGTCAAAGAAATAAAGTCATAGGTTTGGAATAACATGAAGTTGAAAAGACAATTTTTTATTTTTGACTGAACAATATTTAATACCCCTGCAACCAGGAATTTTGGCAACTATCTGTGAAATATTTAGCAACAGTGCAAATGCTTACAATAAAAAGCCCATATCTGACAGGCTTTTTAGATCTAGGCATCAAATCAAATAAAAATATAACTGATGTAAACACATCCAAAATCCAATGCATAACCAACAAAAATTACCTGCATTACACAAAGAAAATCAGCACAAAATAATAAAATACCCCAAATATTCTCAAGAACATCATGATGAAATACAGACCCTGTATACACAATTGATGTTAGAAACCATATTCAGAACCACACAAATAATAAAAAAAAAAAAAAACAACAACCAAAAAAAAAACCTTGCATACTGGAAATTTAAACACATGTGGTTCCACAAGGTCAATGATATGGTTAAATTACAAATGTTTCAAGACTGCTATGGTATTAACTCAACATTAATACAAAACATTGTATCTGTGCTACATATTGTTATCCATTTGTGCATTTCAGATTAGAGTTGAACTCTAACCTGTGAGTAAAATGTGAGTAAACCCTCACATTGGGTCTACATAGCAAGTGAATGATGACATCAAATGTTACTGTTTACCTTCTGACAGTTAAGAGTATGAAATAAAACAAATGAAAAACAATAAAAAAGCCTCTTTGTTAGTAGTATACTATGAGCCAAAAATAAACTATGGTGAGAATTGAAGAATCCAATGATGAAATCTAAATGTGTTATCTGAGTGGTCAGAATGGATTTTTTTTCAGTATGGTTAGTTTATGGACTTACACTTACCCACAGCCATCCAATCAGAGTCCCATAGAGCCAGGTATTGAGATAGAGTTTTCTACCTGACTCTGTTAACAGCATTGGTAAAGTGAGGCCACCCAAAATCAACAGCGAAGGCAATGTCTTTGTAAGATTAAGAGGCGACTTTTGGCTTTCTCCAGGGAACCTGCACTTTTTCTCAGGGTCTTCAGAATCATAGAAAGTGGTCAGTAGCCTAAACAGAAAGAATAACACATTTTGAAAGTGCAACTAAATCACCATTTTAAAATAATCCAGCATTTCCAGTTCACAAAATACTTTAAATCAACAGCACCACTATTTTTATGCCACGTTGTAATTTGCGGACATTTTTTTCAGTTCAGCAAACTGGAAATAACCCAACACACTCTCCTTAAATGTTTGTGTGGCTTGACTCTAGTTCAACCACTTTAAAGTATATGTAGCTTATAGACGTAACTGTTGCACACAGTACAAAACTACGGTGGCCGAGAAGTGCAAAGCAAATCACAATTCTGAAAACAAAATAACAAATTACAAACGCAAATGCAAGTCTAAAAAACTAAATAACAATTCAGAAAGCACAACAACAATTCAGAAAACATTATAACAAGTCAGAAAACACGATGTGGGTCGATCGCGTCAAAAAGCCAACTTCAAGCGCTTATCCATCTGCGCCACTGGAGCTGATGACTTACAGCCACTTTTAACTAAATCTGATTTGTCGTTGTGTTTTCTGACTTGTTATAATGTTTTCTGAATTGTTGTTGTGCTTTCTGAAATGTTATTTTGTTTTTTAGACTTGCATTTGCGTTTGTAATTTGTTATTTTGTTTTCAAAATTGTGATTTGCTTTGCACTTCTCGGCCACCGTACAAAACACTTTTTCTGACCAATTAACTCCTATGACCTTTCCAAGTTTTCCATGATCATGGAATCCCTGCTGTGATCAGTGATTTTGCAAACATACCATAACCAAAATAAGTGTATGTAAGGTAACACTTTTTGGATACACTTTATTTTAAGGTGTCCTTGTTACGGCGTAATTATACATTTAAGTACACAGTAATATTAATTAACTACATGTACTTACTATATGGTTAGTATTAAGATTAGTGTTTGGCTTAGGGTTCCTTGCATGTAATTATTCATAATTTATTGTTATTATAATAGTAAGTACATGTAACGTGTAACAAGGACACCCTAAAATAAAGTGTTACCCACTTTTTTTTTTACAGTGCCCAGTACTACATGTACTACTATATAGTAACAACAATACATTATGCATAATTACATACAATTAAGCCTTACATGCAACAACTCTAAACCAAACCCTCATCCTAACCATACAGTAAGTACAGGTAGTTAATTAATATTACTAAGTACTTAAATGTATAATTACACTGTATCAAGGGCACCATAATATAAAGTGTAATCGTATGTAGTTATGTATACGTAGTTAAGCATAAATAAGAATGATGGACTAGGGGCTATTTCGGAAACCCACTTGTCCTTGATTTCAAATCTTTCATGTAGCCATCTGCGGAAGAACACTGGCTCCACAGGAATTTCCCTCATGTCCAAGCGGTTGAAGTGGATGTGCACCCTGGGGCATTCCTTGCACAGGAACTCTATCACACAGAGAATTTAAATTAGATAAAGGCATTTCAGACAACCATCAGACAGAAAACAAACAAACAGAAAATTAAACACAATTAAAAACTTTATGAAAGTGAAATAAAATAAAAAATGATTATTTAATAATTACATAAATGATTTCACTTTAAACATAGTACATTTACAATACATCTGTCTTAATTTGTTCACTTGCAAAGTTTCATTTTTGGCAGAAAACTGCTGGGAGTTTTTCCAGCAAAGACGTGTTTCATTACAAATGTAGTGACATGCTGTCTGTTTACAAAATGTTAGAAATTATGAGAATGTGAAAAGTCTGGCACACATTGTGTTCCCAAATGCACATATAACTCACGGTGCATGCACAGATAGAATTTACATTTACATTTAGCAGACTATTTTATCCAAAGCGACTTACAAATGAGGACACCAGAAGCAATCAAAACCTACAAAAGAGCAATAATATGTAAGTGCTGTGACAAGTCTTGGTTAGCCTAACGCAGTACACGTAGCAAGGTTTTTTTTTTTTTTAAATAATAAATAAAAAGAAAACAAGTAGATAGAACAGAAAAATAATACAGAAAATTAGTGTTAGAGGGTCTCTCTCTTTTTTAATTTTTTTGAAAGAAAGAAAAGTTAGTGTTATAAGATCATTTTTTACATAAAAAGCAATCAAGTATTGTAAAGAGTGCAAGTGTTAAAGGATCAAGTTTTTTTTGGCTACATTTGTGAATCGAGTCACTAAGACAGTGAATCACTTGAGCTGCTCAAATGTAAATGAACACTGACCATAATTGTTTAATTAAACCACAACCTTTTGTGATTTGAGAAGCGCATTACGTCATCGCAATTTAGTTCAACTGAAAGATGATCTGACAAAGCAATGGTGCAAAAACACACTGTTAGATATTTTGTGTTTTTAATGAGAAGTTTAAAAATAGTTTCACTTCATTATGAAACTGTGGTAGGACAAATTAATAATAATCAAGAAACAAGGAAAACAAAAATGAATCTCTCTCTGGCCAACTCAGATTTCAGTATGGAGATAAAGGTCAGGATCATGATTTTTAAGTAGTATTAGAGCACACCGTTGAGTGTACTGTATAAGATCAGTTTGCTGTTTGCTTGTGGGATCTGACAGAGCACTTGGACCCAGAAATGGTGACGCATGACTAAAACTTTGATATTGTGACAGCCTGTTGCTTAATAGTTTTGTTTTGTTTTTTTATAAAGGAGGATGTAACAATATCCTAACAGCTACCCAAATGTTGCGACTTATGATGTTTATTCCTGTGAAAAACAGGATGTTTTCTGCATGAAACCTCTTATTGCTTTAGTGTTTTTGGGAACCAATGGAAAATAACACATCGTGACACTCACTGTTTACAGGAAGTAACAGGAAATTCACATATCTATTTTTTTCCAGCCCTCAATCAATGATTTAACACTGCGTCCGCCTTCTTTCCTGTGCTAGTTTCAGTTGATGAAAGTAAACATGCTGTTTTCAAACTGAATGTATGATAATAACAACATACCTGGCATTGTAGGAGCTGGATGTCTCTGGCCGGCTGCTGTGAGTTTTCCCTCATATGCAACGGTTATGTCATATACAGCATCCAGGTGTTCCTTCATAGTCTCAATGGCAACATGTGATGCTTTCATTCTCGGTGTTAAAACGTGCTTCAGCACAGCAAGTCCTGCAAGACAAGACAACATGACTATTGCAAGTAAATTAGTTTGAGAAACTGCAATTTAGTACATTGGGAAAACATTCAGAAATGTTAGACATCTATCAGTGACAGAAAAATATTTAAATATTATAAAATTAAATATATATTTACGATGCCATGGGGAAACATGGTGCTAATAGTCTCTGCTTACTTTAGGCATAAATGGATTCACCCAAAAATGAAAATTGTCATTTATTTACAGTGTCTTGAACATATTTGTTTGAATATTTACATTTCTCATTTTCATTCATGGAGATAACATTAAAAATTTGCCACCGTCAGTGTTTGTCAATTCTCAAACTTAGCAGTATACGTGGGCATTGGTTATGACAAAACTTTTCTTCAAATTGAGAATGGATTACATACAGAAAGCAAGCAAAGAATGGTCCCTTTACAGCAGGGCTGAAACAATTAGTCAACTTTAATTGACAACATTGACATTTTTTATTTTTGTTGTCGAATAGTCATTTGATCTCTTATGACCTAATGCAAGGTCCTGCAATAATTTGGTTTGACTAGTGTGAAGCTATAGCACAGTTTATATGAAAATGTATAGAATTTGTAACTCAATATTTTAACAAATTGCAAAAGCTGAATAATCAAAGCCTACTGATAAGTGAAATCAACAATTAGTTGATTAATATTTCTAATAATTGATAGATTAATCAATTATCAAAATAATCGTTTGTTGAAGCCCTACTTTACAGCATGACTGACTGAGCTCATTTGCACAAAAACTGTTAGACCTTAGTCTGTTTAGACACCAAATTGAATTTAACAAGTGATGAAAATGAGGCTTTGAGGGATAGACTTAGTCTTTACAATGGCACGCACTATATACAGTAAAAGGTCCTAGATCACAATTTTCACCAACTTTCAAAACTGTTTTATGAAGTTTTTTTTTTAATCTACTGAAAGTTTATTTTTCTTAAGACATTTCACCTACTGAAAAATTGGCATGTTGTTAAACAACAGTAAAATCCACTGAACACACAGTACATCTGTCCGTCACAGCCTAATTTTCATTCCTGTTGAAAATTAAGTGTAGCACTACACTGACTGAAGTCTGTAGTCAAGAAACTACATACTGCCCAGTGAATCGCTCAGGTTATAACATAACTATCTCGGGGACTATCATAACTTTCTTTAATCTTTATCTCAGGGAACCTAGGTTTACTTAGTAACCCGAGCGTTCCCTATCAAAACGGTCTCTAAGGAACGTTTATGACGCTTGGGGGAAGAATATATCATAGGGACTTAAAAAACCTAACAAAGGCTGATGACGATGACCAGCTGGCTGCCTCGCAAATATCCCCAATAGAAACTCCACTCGACCAAGTCAAGAGAGACTTCAGTCAGTGTAGTGCCATATTTAATTTTTGGCAGAAATGAAAATGAAGCTGTGAGGGATAGAAGTACTGAGTGTTCAATGGATTGTTCTGTTGTTTTACAATATACCAAGAGGCCATCCCCGAGTGGAGAGGGCCCTCACTCCAAATGGGCACTCAGAGGACACAGAGGCATAAGCCAGGGCTATTGCATCCACTATCCAGTGCAATTATCTCTGCTTTGTAACTGGCAGCTCTTTGGAGCAGCCCCCAAAGCCGGCAAGAGTGTTCCACATAAATCCTGAGGGTCCGGACCGGGCAAAGTAAGTTAGCTCCCTGCTCGTTCTCAGAGGAAGGAAGGGATAACCGAGTCAGTCAGGGAACCACAACTGGTTTTGCCAGAGTGGAGCAAAAAGTAGAACTGAGCATCTGATCTCCCTGATCCATCTGAAGACCTGAGGGAGCATAGCAACTGGAGGAAAGGTGTACAGGTGGGCCTTGCTGAGCAATGAGAGTTGTCTTCTGAAGCAAAGGGGGCTTTTGTGGCCTAATGGTTAGAGAGTCAGAGTCGAAAATAGCAGGTTAGAGTCTTAGGTCCGGCAGGAATTGTCGGACCTGAGTGAATAACCAGCGCTCTCTTCCACCCTCAATACCACGACCGAGGTGAGACCCTTGAGCAAGGCACCGAACCCCCAACTGCTCCCCGGGTGCCACAGCAATATGGCTGCCCACTGCTCCGGGTGTGTGTTCATGGGGTGTATGTGTGTTCACTACTGTGTGTGTGCACTTGGATGGGTTAAATGCAGAGCACATATTCTGAGTATGGGTATATACCGGGTACAAACCGGTAATATCACAATGCAAACAGGCTTAATTTCTTTTCATTTGGAGGTGAAATACCATCCAAACTTGGCCACATGTCACTTCATTTTCACTTTCAAAGGTCTGCCTTTGCCTTTCCATTTGGGGGTGAAGTCTCCATTCTCCTGGAAATACACTGCTCCAGGTCAGCACGTCCACTCCCTGGTTCAGTATGCTTGGCACGTGCACTGCCCTTGATGAGCCCAGATTGTACTGAGCCCATTGGAGGTGGTGTCTTGCCATCTTGTAAAGAGACCACGACCTGAGGCTACCCTTGCGATTTATGAAGGCCACCACTGTCATATTGTCAGAATGGACAAGGACATGTTGCCCTTTCAGGGCTGGCAGGAAGGTTTCAAGGCCCCAAAAACTGCCATCATTTTGAAACAGTTGATGTGCAGGCATCGCTCCAGGCTGGACCAGGAGCCGAAAACCGGGCTGCCCTTGCACAGATCTCCCCAACCCAAGTTGGAAGCATTTGTGTAAAAACAATTGGACTCCTGTCTGATACAGGCAAAGGGCCTTCCAAGGGGCCACAGCTGAGACACAGCGATAATCCATCTTGAGGTAAAAAAATCAATCATCAATCAATAGTCCATCTTGAGGATTTGACAGCTCCCTTTGCCAGCAGACTTTGCAGGTTTCGAGTTGGTGAAGCCTTGGAGGCTACTACTGTTTGTGTTGTGTTAGGTTTGAGATTGTTTTGAGCATTTTAAAACACTACAACAGCACAGGCACTAGGGCTGTGTATCACCAGCAAAGTCACGATACGATACATATCACGATACGATACGTATCACGATACAGGACTGCACTGAATTTCACCTCAGCAGAATTTAGAAAAACAGCTGTTTATTAAAAGGAACTAACTTTTTAGCGATGCCCCACAGTTTTTATCAACTAAATAGCTTAATCGCTCAAGAGCTACATTATCTTTTTCAACAAGGAGCCAGTTGTGTTCCTCTGCGGCCAGATTAAACCTTGTTGTAGCCTATATATGCTCTA